AGGGAAAATCTTTTGATTTTACAGTAAAGAGATTCCCTAAGTCTCATAGTAGACTTTGGAACTTTGAACAGTATCGAGATTGTTAGATTATGGAGTCTGTTTAAGTTGGACTACATGCACTTAGTATTATGATATGGTCACAGTCCTGTGGGTTCAAAGCAGGGACTGTGATGGTTTGAATGAGGAAGTTCCCCCATAGGCTCATGTATTGAAACACTCAGTGTCCATTTGATGGCATTGTTTGGAGAGGATAAGGGGGTGCAAAATTGTTGCAAGTATGTCACTGAGGGAGTGTTTTGAGTGTATACACCCTTGTCCCCGTGTAGTTTTCTCTCTGCTTCCTGGTCTTTCAGCTTTGGATTTTTGCCTTCCCACCTTGTTTTGAACACAGCCTCTGGAACCATAAGCCACAATAAACATTCATCCTTAAATTGCCTCTGGTCATGGTAGTTTATCACAGTGAAAGCAAAACAACTAAGACGGAATTGGAACCAGAGAGTGTGGTGTTACTGTGAAGATGTGGACCTTGTTTTTTTGGAAAAATATGGACAAATTTGGAACTTTGTTTTTGCTTGATGTATATTATAACAGCAATGTACAAATAACTAATACATAATCTGAGTGAGATATCCCAACCCAGAAACAAACATGTCGTTTTCTCTCATATTGTACATTAACATTGACTGTTTAGAAGTGTGTGTTTTAAGGGAATACAGAGAAATCTGACATTAGTAAGGGGCCATCAGGGATAGAATCTTTATTTTCTTTTGTTTCATTTTATTTTATTTTAGCATTTTTATCGAATTTTTGCAATTTCCGACAACATAACTTGATGACATTTATTTCCCTTCTCCCATCATCTCCTCTGAATACCCCCTCATCCCCCACTTAATTCAATGTACCCTCTCTGGGTAATAAAGCTGGGAGAGTCTAATTTGAATCCCCAAATGTTCTCCAGCGTGGGCACATCTACTGGAACTTTCATAGGACTTGAGCATGCTGTCACCAGCTAGCTGTCTGGAGAACTCTGTCCCCCGCATGGTCATCCACCACCGCTGGCTCTTACAATCTTTCACCTCCTCCTCTGCAATGATTCCTGAGTTCTGAGTTCCAGAAGCCTGACAGAGGCGTCCCACCTAGAGATAAGCTCTCTGCAGCCCCTTCCTCCCCTGCACATTGGAAAGTCTTAAGTTTCTCTGTCAATCTCTATCTGCTGCATAAGGAAACTTCTCCAGTGAGAGTTGAAAGATGCATTAATCTTCAATAATGGGTGAGCACCTGACCCAGGACAGTTTGTTCTGATCATCCCTCCTGGGACTGAGAGTCCATATTATTAAGAGGGTACCA